CAGCCAGATCCTAAAGGCTAGAGCCGGAGCTGCCGCGCCAGTCGCCTAGCAGGTCCTCTACCGGCTTATTCCTGTGCCGGAGCTTCATCAGCACAGCGGCCAGCGAGACGTGCCTGCCTCCCCCTTTCTTCCTCCGCTCTTTCTCTTCCCTCTCTTTTAGTTTGCCTGGGAGCTTGAAAGGAGAAAGCACGGGGTCGCCCCAAACCCCTTCTGCTTCTGCCCATCACAAGTGCCACTACCGCCATGGGCCTCACTATCTCCTCCCTCTTCTCCCGACTATTTGGCAAGAAGCAGATGCGCATTTTGATGGGTGAGTGAAGGGCTGCGAGTCGAGGCGGGACCTGGGAAAGGCAGGATCTCCACAATTCAGGTGGCCTCTGGGCCTGTTTTTCTTTCCGCCCGCCGTGGTGGGGGAGGGGCGCCGGGTCGGGGGTCGGGAGGAATTCTTAAGGGGGAACAATGGAGCGGAGGGTGAGCGATCCCTCCCCAGATCTGTTGCCAGACGAGGCAGGGACAGGGCTTTGGGCAAGGTTTCTTCTTTCTGGACTTGACTTTTCCCCCTTGATCTTATTGAAAGCTGGACAACATTAGGCAGAGATGTGGGGAAAGCCAACTCTGGGAAGCAAACACTTGGCGAGGCCCTTTCTGGGGGTGCGATCTGCATACCTTCTTGCCCGGGTGGACAGCCGTCAGGAGGGAGGCAGAGCGACTCCAGCCTTTTCCTTCCCCCTCTGCGCTTCGTGTACAGTCCCTGCACACTCCGTTGGTATGTGAGCCAGCGGCCACCCGGAGCCTGGAGTCGCCCGGGGCAGGAAGTTGCGGTGGCCAGGGAGCACCCAAGGTTTCCTAAGAGTCTGGAGTCCTTCAGCGCCCACTGTGCTAAACTTGGCCTTGCGCTGGATTCCTTTTCAAGTTTTTCCCTCCTTGTTAATCTCATTCTCCGAAAACCAAGCTTATCTTCTATTTCTTTGGCTATTTTCAAAAACTTTAAATGTATTTGGTTTGTTCTCCTAGGTTTTCAAACTTATTTAGCCGGCTTAAAGTCTAATGCAAAAAAAAAATTAGAAACGAATTTTTAAAAAATACCTGATAAATTTTCAGTAACTGAAATGTAACATCATGACGCTGAATTTTAAGGTAGCATTGTTAAATAGTAACTACAATTTTTTAAAATTTCTTTTTAGAAAATTGACTTTTAAAAAACTGCTTTTTACGGGGCGTGTTTTTGCTCAGCTAAGGGAGAAGGGCTGTCAGTTGGCTGATGTAAGCAACCGCTCCCGGTTACTGTGACCAGCCTACATCACAGCTGAGCTCCATGGACTAGAATAACGCTGAAAGAAGCCCCTCTAACTTTGAACGTTGAAACTTGTTGGTTCATTAGCTTGTGTTCTACCAGAGGAGGTTTTATTTTCTTTCTTCCTTTCTTTCCTTTTCTTTCTTTCGACGGAGTTTTGCTTTTGTCACCCAGGCTGGAGTGCAGTGGCGCAATCTCCGCTCACTGCAACCTCCACCTCCCGGGTTCAAGAGATTCTCCTGCCTCAGCCTCCCAAATAGCTGGGATTACAGGCATGCAACACCACGCCCGGCTAATTTTTTGTATTATTAGTAGAGACGGGGGTTTCACCATGTTGGCCAGTCTGGTCTCGAACTCCTGACCTCAGGTGATCCACCCACCCGGGCCTCCCAGAGTACTGGGATTACAGGCGTGAACCACCATGCCGGGCTGGAGGTTTTATTTTCGAACTGTACTACCATCGAAAGCTTTCAAACACAAGCTTCTGTAATATCTCAAGGTATATAAAGAGTAACAGTATATACATTGGCTCATTTAATTTTCCTCTTAACTCAGCGTATTTACATTTTGTGAAACAATTGTTTATGATTCATAAAGTGTTTTCTTTTTCAAAGTTTTTTAGACTTCCTTTGTCAAGAGAACAGAATTATTTTAGGAGGGCAAGCATATTTAAGTTAAGACTGAAAGTTGGCAGTCTGAAAAAGGATCGGAAGTTAATGGGAGGACTTTGGACTGCGATAAATGAATTTCCAGCCTGTTCTTTAAAGAGATTTAACAATATATGGTTGTGTTCCAGAACACGTAGTATATTGGTCTTTTTACTTAAGATTTATTGTAAATAAATTGCTATTTTTCGTTTCCTTAGTCTTTTGTGATTGATGAAAGTATCAGAGGGGCAAGGAAGATAGAAGTATGCTAGATTTGAAGAAAATGGGAGAGAAAAAATGTTGAAGTTTCTGCATTTGTGCGGAGGATTTAGGAGTTACTTGTTTTGAATGTTTAACTCAGGCATGCTATTGTTTTGCACTTTAATTTTGGGATAATCAGTTTTCCTTGACTAAAAACACTTCAGTCACAAGATCAACATTTATGGTAACTCATCAAAGGAGGTATCAACGTACGAGGAAGATATGTGCATGAACAGGGAAAAAAGTGGTTTGGAAGTTTGATAATTCTTAATTTTTCTGTCTGGCTTTATGAGTGACTGACCGCAAAAATAATAGATCACTTTTTTTTTTCTACCCCATTCAACTGTTGGAATTATTGGTTAATGTTTTACATTAGTGTGCTTCTTTTTTCTTTATAAAGCTTAGATAAGATTCATGCCCTCCCGAGTCAGACTTTTTTCAGACTTTACCATTTTAAAGTATAAAGGAGATAGGAGTTAGCTGATGTCTCCGGTTTGCCAAACTTCTGTGGAGAAGTTTTAAATTTAATTCCTACACCTGCTGTTCTTCCAAAAGTTCAAGTAACTTTAAAAGATGTTGGAAGTCAGCTTGTAGTTAACTGTAATTAAAAAACCAACACAGTGTATCAAATTTAACATAATCTGGACTATTGATTGACAGAAATTATGTACTAGTTATAAGGGGAAGTTACGCAAGTGATGGTATTGCCCATGCTGCTTGAGTTAGAAAGCAGCATAGACTCACACCTATAATCCCAGCACTTTGGGAGGCCAGGTTGGGAGGATTGCATTGAGGCCAGGAGTTTTTGACCAGCCTGGTCAATTTAGCAAGACCCCATCTCTATTTGAAAAAAAATAAAAATAAAGCAATAACTTCTGTATTTAATTTAATTTAATTTTTTTTTTTTTTTTTTTTTTTGAGATGGAGTTTCACTCTTGTCTGCCAGGCTGGAGTGCAGTATGGCACGATTTAGGCTCACTGCAACCTCTGCCTCCTGAGTATCTGGGATTACAAGCGCCTGCCACCAAGCCCAGCTAATGTTTGTGTTTTTAGTAGAGACGGGGTTTCACCATGTTGGCCAGGCTAGTCACAAACTCCTGACCTCAGGTGATCCACCCGCCTTGGCCTCCCAAAGTGCTGGAATTACAAACATGAGCCATCACACCTGGCCAGCTTCTGTATTTTGTATATATTTTTAAAATAATTATGTTTTTTTCCTTTTGAGTAGCTGAGACAACAAGGACATGCCATTCGACCTGCCTGGCTAATTTTTGAAATTTTTTGTGGCAAGAAGGTCTCACTATCTTGCCTATTCTTGGGCTGAAGCGATCCCCCCACCTTGGCCTCGAAAAGTGCTGGTGTTACAGGGTGAGCCACTGAGCCTGGCTGCATTGTCCTGTTTTAAGTCTGGTTTCTGTATCTTGATCCATGATAAGATGTAATGTTGTTAAGTGAATCCTTAAATTATGTATATATCCAAAAATACTAATGTGTTCTGCAGAGGAATTATTAATTCTGATCTCTTTACTTTGAACTTTCCAGTCCTTGCCTGTAGAACAGCTGAAAAAGTGTTAGTTTTTAAAAGCTTGTTGATACCAGTGTAGTGTAGTATGCCAGTGTAGTTCTGTATTGTCTTGAATGTGACTGTGGTTTTGGGGGTCTAGAGATGTTCGGGAGAAAGGATCCTATATTTGTCACTTTAAAAAATAGTACCAAGCTAAAGAGTGGTGTTTTATATTTGTTTCTTAGCATATTTTGCAAATCCATCTATTTATGTAATTTTTTTTCCTCCTGATTCTAAAAGTAGTATATGTTCCTTCTGTTACATTTAGAAAACAGGTAAAAGAATAAAGTGATAATTACCTATCTGTAATTCCACTATTCTGTCATATTTACTCTCAGCCTTATTTTTATTTTTATTTTTTGAGACAGGGTTTTGCTCTGTCAGCCATACTCTGGGGCACATACAGGTGGCATGATCATAGCTCACTGTAGCCTTGAACTCCTGGATTCAAGCGATCCCTCCTACCTTAGGCTCTGGAGTAGCTAGGACTACAGGCACCACTATGCCCAGCTAATTTTTAAATTATTTTGTAGAGAATGGGGGTCTTGTTCTGTTGCCTAGCTGATCTCAAACTCCTGGACTCAAGAGATCCTCCTGCCTCAACCTCCCAAAGTGCTGGGATTACAGGTGTAAGCCACCACACCTGGTACATGCTCAGTCAGCCTTTTAAGAGGAAGTTTTTTTCCTCTAAAATTGTAGTTGTGATATTTAGTTTTGTGTCCTCTCTTTTTGATTCAGCTTATTACAAGCATTTTCTGAGGTTATTGGTTGAACATATAACTGCCAACCTTTGAAAAAACAGACTCTTCTCATTATGTGAATATAGGAAATGGAAAAGGCAAAAATCCTGTTTCATGCCACTGGTTGATAGGTACAGCCATCCTTAGATGCACCCTTTTGCATTATTACAGTAGT